AAGGTGCGCCGCGAGCAGGGCAGAGCCGTCGTCGACGTGATCCCAGGAGAAGACGCCGGGCTGGCTCAGCCACGAGCCGTCGCCGACCGGCTGCAGGGTCGCGAGTTTCCGCCAATAGTCGAGTGGCGTCCGCTCGGCCTTGGCGAACCAGAAGACCCGGCTGTGGAACTTCGAGAGCGTATCGACGCCCCCGAAGGCCTTGCCGGCATGCTTTTCGAGGCTCGCCGCACCATCGTCGTTGGCGCCGGCGCAGACCAGCGTGCCGCCGGTAGCCAGCAGGTCCCAGCCGCGCGCGATGTTGGCGAAATTCTCTTCCTTGTGCTTGGTCAGCAGGACGAGGCCAAGCTCATGGCCACCGCTCTCCAGGCGCGGCACGGCCCGCTTCAGGCGAAGGAAAGCAGGCCTGAACGACTGCTCCGCGTCGATCTCCGCAAAAGGCGGATCCTCGGCACGCAGGAAGAACGCCCGCCTTGCGGCGAGCGTTCCGGTGTCGAAGGCGTGGGCGAGGGCGCGTGTCGCCTGGCTCACGGAACGAGGACGGCCCGCCCCATGATGAGGCCCTTGCGCAGTTCCTGGAGCGTGGCGTCGGCCTCGTCGAGCTTGCGGGTGACGACCGGCACGGGGGTCACCTTGCCGGCCGTGACGAGGTCCATCATCTCCTTCATTTCGCCGGGGCTGCCGGTGACGGAGCCCACGATCTGGCAGCCGGTGAAAGCGAACATCGGCATCGGCAGCGAGAAGGTGCCGCCGAACAGGCCGACGACGACGAGACGGCCGCCGCGGGCCAGCGCCTTGACGCCGAATTGAGCGGTGCTCTCGGCGCCCACGAAGTCGATGGCCGCGCCGACGCCGGTACCGCCGGTCAGTTCGAAGATCTTCTTGCGGGCGTCCTTGTCGCGCGGATCGATCGCAGCCACCGCGCCGTTGTCGAGCGCCAGCTTGCGCTTGTTCTCGTCGATGTCGGCCACGATCGGGGCGTGACCCAGCACCGATTGGGCGAACTTCACGCCCATCAGGCCGACGCCGCCGGCGCCGATCACCAGGATCGGCTTGCCAGCATCCTCGCCGACCGCCTTCTTCACGGCGCTGAAGGCGGTGATGCCGGAGCAGGCATACAGGCAGGCGAGATCGGTCGGGATGTCGCCGTAGGGATAGAGATACTTCGCGTCGGGCACGAGAACGTGGTCGGCATAACCGCCGTCCTTGTTGACGCCGAGCGCGCGCGGGGCGGGGCAGAGATGCTCGCGGCCGTTCGTGCAATACCAGCAGGTGCCGCAGCCGATCCACGGATACACGACGGCCTTGTCGCCGACCTTGGCGCCCTTGGCGTCGGGACCCAGCGCCACGACTTCGCCCACGATCTCGTGGCCCATGGTGCGCGGCGGGTTCATCGTCTTCTGCGTCGACACCTTGTTGCCGCCGCCCATGTCGAAGAAGCCTTCCCACAGGTGCACGTCGCTGTGGCACACGCCGGCGGCGGTGACCTTGACCAGGACTTCGGCGCCCTGCGGCGCGGGATTGCTTTCCTCCACCTTCTGAAGCGGCTGGCCGAATTCGACGACCTTGTAGCTTTTCATTGGGACTCTCTCCGTTACGAAACCCGGCCGGAGAATAGGCCGAAAGACGCGCCGCGTCTGCGTTGCCGGCGACGCATGGAGTTTCGGCAGACAGTATAATTCAATATTTTCGAAAGTTTCGAAAATCCGATTTACTTACGAGGATCGTTCATCCACGATCCATTTCAACGACGTTCAAATCAAACAAGCGTCGAAGGAGGAAACGGATGCGCGAGCGGGTGGGCTCATGGCGGCGTCGCCATGTCTTGGCAGGGATTGGTTGGGCTCGACGGCCATGCTGGCGGCACCGTCCATTCTGCGCGCAGCGCCTTCGGGCAAACCGGTCCGAGTGGGCGGGACGCTCTCGCTGACGGGATTCCTCGCGCAGACCGCGGTCATTCACAAGATCGCGTCCGAGATCATGGTCGAGGAGATCAACAGTCGTGACGGCTTCCTCGGCCGGCCGGTCGAGTACGTGCTGCTCGACGACCAGTCCAAGCCCGACGTGGCGCGCAGCCTCTACGAGAAGCTGATCACCGTCGACAAGGTGGACCTGATCCAGGGGCCTTATGCGACGGCGCCGATCCTGGCGGCGATGGGCGTGGCGCAGCGCTACGGCAAGGTGATCATTCAGAGCAGCATGGGCATTCCCAAGCTGCAGACCTACGACATGGCGTTCCCCGCGACGCCGTTCGGTCCCGAGCCCGACAAGACCTATCCCAACGTCATCCTCGACGCGATGGCGAGCCTGCCGACGCCGCCCAAGAGCATGGTGGTGCTGACCAGCAAGTTCCCGTCGGCGCAGTTCATGGCGCACGGCATGAAGACCGAGGCCGAGAAGCGTGGCGTGAAGGTGCCGCTCTATCTCGAATACGAGGCGGGCAACCGCGATTTCGGCGCCATCGCCGCGCGCGTGAAGGAGGCGAATGCCGACTTCCTGTGGGTCGGTTCGCTGGGGCTGGAGAGCAACCAGATTCTCGAAGCGTTGAAGAAGCTCGAATACACGCCGAAGGGCAGCTTCCACCTCTATCCCGCGCCGGGACCGCTGGCGCTGTCGCCCGACGGCAATCTCGCCTGGTCGTCGACCTTCCTCGAGCCCGACGAGCCCTTCATGAGCCGGCCGGGTGTCGCCAAGATTGCCGCGGCCTACAAGGAGCGAGCCACCAAGGCGAACCTGCCGTATCCGCTGATCGATGCTCAGGCCGCCGGCATGGTCTCGGAGTGGCAGATTCTCGAGCAGGGCGTGAACGGCGCCAAGAGCCTCGAGGACAAGCAGATCGCGGCGTTCCTGAAGAAGAACGTCGTGAACACGATC